GGGGTCCCGCGTTCTGTCAGCACCGCGCTTTAATCAGAGCCCGCTTAAATGACAAACGCCGAGGACTGTCAGGTGTTCAAAAGCACCGATAATTTATACACGTGATACAGGAACGAGAACAACCACAAACAACGGCAACGACACTTCATAAGCATTACAGAGAACACATCATTTGCAAATTAGTAATCTGCTGTATTTTAAGTTCTTGCAGTAATTGGAGGGATTTAAATTTTGTTTTGAAGTCAACAGAATCTTTCATATAAAAGTTATTTTGTTCAGTAACAAACATGATCCGAGAAGCTGAAATACACGACACATCTGACCCAAAGGCTCCAAGGTCTGACAAGCCAAGAATCAAATACAAATTACTTCCAAATACAAAAGGCTTCCACATCAAATCTCAAGCTTTTGTATAGTTTTAAGTTAGAACGCTGTTCCTGAAGCAGCTGTAATGAAAAACTGAATTTGATAGACTTTTTAAGTGTCTCAGAGAAAAAGATCCAGTACTGCTGTACTCGTCATTACTACTGATAATTTCTCTCATTCCAGGCCGAGAGGAATTGCTCAGGCTGTAAGAACGACTGAAGTCTCCGGCAGTGTCAGACCAGCTGCGTTTACGTGCTCCCACTTCACCTCAGTGCAGCAATGTCAAAGCACTGACCTTCCCCTTACACACTTCACATAAATAAACCAGACTCGTCCTCCCTGTGACGGGAACAACATCCTGTCCTTGGCATGGACAGTCACTCCTTTCGGCTTCCAGCTTCTAGACAGACTCCCCTCATTACCTATTTTTTCTACTAAATATCTTTCTGGTTTTAGCATGCTGATACCGTGAAAGCCAATATCTACCTGTGTTCCTGCTAAAGTAAAACGAGACCAGCTACTCCTGTACATTTCCATTTACTTTCTGATAGATATTAAAAAGAAAATACTAACATTATTCCCTTTTTTATAAAATCCAACCCAAGACAAACCTGAATGTATTTCCTAATTGGACATTGTGGGGTGCATTTCAGTTAGGAATGATTTGGCTTCACACCATTCCCATGGCATATTCTTTTCATTCCCAGTTTAGAGATTAGAAATAACACAACTCAACTTTAGACATTAAGTTATTCAGGAGTCAACAAGCAAGTTTTCTGTATTACATGGCTGTGTGCTTTTAAGAGACCACCTTTCCTGTACGGGACACAATGCTGGTCAATACAAACATGCACACTTCTTAAGCTCACTTATTTATTTTGGGGGCTTTTAAAATGTCCACTTCTTGTCACTGTCCCCTGGAGCAGCTTTCTCTCCAGAGCTCAACTGTGCCATTTCACCTGTGTGTCGTTACCAAGAGCAGGGTTTAAGAGAGCCAGTGTTCGCCACTCTCATATACCCACATGAACAAAATCACCTTTTCATATATAAAATAATTCTTATTAGTGCTTTGTTAACTCTATTATTGCTACCATTTTAAACCAGCCAGGATGAATGTGTTCAAAATAGGAAATCAGCAATTCTACTACAGACATTGTCATTCTCTATATAACAGACGAATCAAATACAGTCAGGACACCTTCAGGTTGCCCTTTTCAATGACTACTTTAAGATTTAGTAGTAAATCAGCATTTCAAAGTGACAACAATGGTCTTGCCTCCTACAAAGAAATATATGGTAACTGGTTCATAGCACTTTCCAGAAATACTTCTCTATAAATCAGAACTTCCATAAACTGACTATATTTGGACAATTTTTATCGTTAGCTTTAAAAATCAAATGCAAAGACCCTTGCACATCTAGAAGCTGGTAACACCAAATCTCACTGATATAATACCAAAATCTCACTGATATAATACCAAATCTCACTGATCAAGAAATGTTTTGTACATTAATCTATATATCCATACAAAGCTTGCATTAGACAATCTTACATTACAAATTTACAATCAATGCACAAAGAAATGTAAACTCCACCACTAATTTATGGGTAAGTTCACCCTGATAACGAGCACAATCAAAATGACCTCACCCTTTTTTTTATCTGTCCAAGTATCCACTCAGAAAGAAATACAGCTACTGAACGTGAATTGTAAAAATTCACTTCTAAAGATTATAATGGCAGGACAGCACTATCTAATCTGAACAGATGTGTAAAATCATTTGAAAGTGATTAAAGTTAATAAAATTTTTGTACTGTATCAGTGTTTTAAGCCAGTATATAGGAGAAGTTTAAAATTTACAGAATTAAAATAACTGTCCTCAAGTTACTAGCGGTGAAAAGTTCATTATAAATATACAGAATTACAGTAATATATTATAAACTAATTATAAAATTATTATAAACTAATAGAAGCTTGCTCTAAATGAGGTTGGTGACATTCATCATTTCAGTGAGAGCTAAATTAGGATTTTAATGTGAAAATAAATCACACACACTGTACATTCTCAGCTGGATCACTTTCCAAATTCCCTTACAATTACTCCTTGAAACATGACCCAATCTACACAGAAGCAATGTGTGTCTTCTTGGTGCATTAAAAGACAGGAACTGAAGGTAAATAAAGGAGACAAAAATCATGTGGGTTGTGTGCAGTAAATGTGTGGAAGAGAGGGTTACTGGATAGTACCACAGATAGGAGTTGAAATTAAACACCGAATAAAGAAAGTGAACAATGAGGTCGACGGGCACCCCAGCTGAAAAACAAGACAATTCTAAAAGCTTATCAAGAGTACGAGGTGGGAAATGCAGCTGGTATGTGCGTTTGGAGACGTCCATGCCTGGGAATTTTTGGAACAGCCTTATCTTTGGCAGCCTGGTGCAACTGGCTAAAAATCAGCACAATGACCTGCTGCCACAGAGGGTAACGTGAGCTGGACAGGCAGTTGGGATCAGTATGGCATTACTTCAGCATGGAACTCCATGTTGGCTTTCTCCTTGTCCCTTTTTAAACTGGAGAGAGCTGGTCTTGCACATGAGGTGTGAAAGTGTGAGATGACCATCAGAACTGCTATCACAACATGCAACTACTCCCTCTGTCCCTCCCCCCCAGTATTTGATCCATCACACCGTGAATGGGATGATTCCTACTGAAACCCCTAGGTAAGGAAATTCACACCAAGTTGTTACACACGCTTTGCTGATACAAAGATTAAAACATTAGAATTGTACAATTGCTGTTGAAATTGTATTTAATACCACGTTTCAGTGATTGGTAATTAATTCCAATTCTAACAAATTGATTACAGGGGAAGGAAAATAATCATACTGTCTCATGTATCTGAAGATGACTTAAAAGATCTTTTTCATTTCCAAACCTCATTAAACAATCAGTACATTTATGAGGCAAGTCTGCCGAATGCCTGAAATCCAAATGAGTTTTAAGGTCTTCAATCTGTCCTGTCGAATATTCACAGTATTGACACAAATAAATCCCTTCAGATAAATGAGAGCTTAAATGCTTGCAGTATTCCAACATACCTGAAAAGCCCTTCCCACAGTCATCACAAACATGAGGGAATATTTTGGTGTGTTCAATAGCTACGTGCCTGTTGACGTTGGTATGCAGCCTGCTCCTAAAGCCGCACACTTGGCATACAAAGAAGTTTTTGCACTTGTCAAAACTGATTTTGTTGATGAGGCTGTACTGTCCCCGCTCCTTGTTGTTATAGCTGTCGCTTAACTCTATCAGCCGACACGCGTGCTCGTTCACCACATGGCTATGCAGATCTTCTGGATCGTTCGTTTCATGCTCACAGAACTGACACAAATACTGCTCATCGCAGCTGTGCTCCTGGAAGTGCAGGTACAACTCACTGCTGGACGAGAACTGCATATCGCACTGCTCACACCAATAAAGGTGGTCATTGAAGTGAGTGTCTGCTATGTGCTGACTCAGATTCTCAAATATCACTGTTTTGTAATCACAGTATTTACAGATGTACGGATCCTCCTCGTGTAGTTTTACGTGTTCAATGAGCTGCACTTTGCTGGAGAAGCTTTCTTTACAAACTTTACAGACGTGAGTGTCCGTACACGTCTTATGCTTCAGGATCATGTGCTGCTTTAAATCAGAAAAGTACTTGCTATTAAAGTCACAGAGCTCACACTTGTATAAGCCACTGCTGTTGGCTCTCAGCAAAGGCCATTTCTGTTGAGCTGTGATATTCAAAGCCTGGTTCTTCTCAAAGATTTTACAGGTTTCCAGAGGGATTTCCTCCAGGTCCTCAGCTTCTAGCTTCTCAGGTGACACAGTTTGTGTTTCTATGTCATGAACTTCTACGGCATTCACTTCTGTTGTAGAAATTTCTACAGTCTGAATATCGAGAGGTTTCTCTTCTTCTGTAGGGCTGTCACTGAATATAGGCGAATCACATAAATCTCTGCACATTCCATTGTTAGTACCCTTATCTGCAGCAGGAAATAGATAATAAAAGCAAAAAGTTAAAAAAACCCCTGCAAAACACCTGGGTTCATATTTAACTTTTCAGTTAGCTGCAAATACAAAAAGCAGTTATTTTTCCCCAGCCAGACCATATTTTACATTTAACTAACAAATAAATAACAAACTGCAAATCCTTCACCTCTCTATCAAAGCAAAAATGTTACAACAAAAGCCAGCAGCTGTATTCTCCAGCTTCCCAGCACTTAAACTGCAAATACACACTGACCTCTACCTTTATCCCTCTTCTTAGGGTCTATATAGTGGAACCCCACAACGCTGGAATGTGACCCGCTCCAGTGAGAAGTCCCAGCATGTACTGGGCTCCCATCATCATCGGTGTCCAGGCTCTGTGCAGGGCCGTGGAATCTACCTGCAGAGATAAAAGAAGGATTTTCTTGTCATTGTTTGTCTATAGTAGCATCATCGTGATCCTTTAACCACAGATCTTATCTCCTTATTCTAGTTGCACACATTTATCTTTACATACTAATCACATCATCTACATTAAAGAAAGTAAAAATAAATAACTTAGAAATTATTTCCCTATATACAAAAGACAACAAAAGAATTCAAGAAGTGGCAAATCTCTTTAAAATTTCAGTGAAAAAATGTCAGTAGATTATACTAGAAAAAAAACCTTAAAACCCTTAAATGAAACTTTACGTTTGAAAGGCACAATTTTGAAATACTCTTAAATATTTCTGGATGTCACGTTTTAAAATAGAATACTTTGTTAAGACTTTCGGAGATTTGCTAGCTAATTTATTAGAGTGAACAGAAAAATACATGTAATAACAATCCATCCTCACATTTGCTCTGCTAAACTTTACATCCTCTAGTGGACGTTGTACAGAAAGGCATTTTGTTTTCTATAAGTACAAGTACAGTTCAATGCCAATTACTGGTAAATTTCATCTGATCTCTTAGATTATTTACATCAGCTTTACATTACCTAGCTAGTGGATATTTAAAGAAGTCTAATCATCCCTGTAAATGCTGTAAAATTAAAGGATCTTTTTGCCACCATCATTTTTTACTTTGAAAACTGTATTTCAATTATAATGATTAAACAAGCTTCCATCAGTCTAAGGTGACCACCAGATCCAAGATCCATCAGATCACAACAATGCTCATAAGTCATCCACTACATATTTTGTATTGTATTTACTTCTATGAATAGGAGGATGACACACTTAGTAACGAATTGCAGAACAAGACCCCAAAATGTAGTCTTACCTCTGTTTTCAGAAAACCTTATATCTGGCTGTTTCATAGAACAGACACTATAGCAGTGGTCAGAAAAGATTCCACTGTTGTCTATGTATTTGCTTGCACCTGAAGAATCTAAAAGAAAAAAAATTAAGTTTGAATAGTAAAACATTGATGTAGCGACTGTGTATTTCATATTCACCAAAATTCTCTTCACTGGCCATGTTTTTACTTCTTGTGCTGGGAAAATTCTGTGCTGGCCTGATAACATCCCTGTTGTGATTTACAACTTCCAGCTGCTGCCCTGATGTTTGGAGTACCAGATACAACCCTTATCAAACTCTGCTCCCACTGAAGACAGTGGCAGGAGCACGGTTTGTTCAGCATTGAACACTTCTGGACATCCCCCACCTCAAATTTTACAAAATTCCTCACTTTGTGTGTTAGCAGAATCATCTTTGTTTTGTAGATGAGCAAGTTTCCCAATTTGCAGAGTAGAGAACAAACCTGTTCAGATGGACTGGCTGAACGTAGCTAAAGAGCAGAGCACACAGTGGTACTCACTGCATTCATACCAAGACTTCTTATCCCACCCTTTAGGGTGATAACTTTCCATGTATGAGCACATGCAGTCCCTTCTCCTAATAAAGTAATTGTTTTTAGAAAAAATAAGCTTACTAAAGTGTACATAACTCCAGCTCTAGACTGACCTGAGTATCGAGATGGGTGTAGAGTCTTCCTTTTCCTCTTTTTAGGATGTTCATTCATTTTGAATGGTCTAAATTAACTGCACAGTAAAAACATTCAAGTATTAAACAGACTTGTTTGTACGTATAGTTTATCTTTCATTACTTTATGAAACAATACAAACATTTTTTAAACCTTCACATTAAACACAGGAGGTTTTTTTCCTTGCTCCCCTTTCTCACCCCTCTCCCCAGTCCATTTTATTACATTTAACAACACATTATATACATAAAACTACTGAAGTCCAGTTTCACATTCCTGCCCCTCAACAAAAAGTTCACCAAGAAGACAGATCAGGACTCCAGGCACTCAAACACTCAGTGTAACCTACAAGACAGTTCTCCAGCACCCTGCTGCCTTTTATCAGAGACCAGATATTCTGAGGCAGAGTCCTTCAGAGAAAGGTTTACTGTTGAAAATACTGACAAAAGTCATGCTCTCTTACCAAAAATCCTAGACTCTTCAGTGTCAGCAAGCAGAGCAGCTAAGAAGCTGATGGCTGTACAGCTTCCAAATGTAGTGAAGGCATCAGCTCAAGAAGATTTTCATCTATGGAGCAACAATATTTTAAAATACGTTAAAACTTGAGCACAAAACAAAAAAACCCCAGAATCAGATATGCAAATATTACAAAGAAAGAACCTATGGAAATTGAAGATAGAAAACAACATAAAAAGTTGATATTAATTTTGGTTTAGAGTATCAAAATTATTAAGATAGGTGCACTAGAGTTTTTATTTTCCTTTTGTCCAAGGTTAGCTGGCTTTCACTGCACCTGGCAGCTCCTGACAACAGAAAAATATATGGAGATAACACCAAAAATACTTGAGCTATATCTACTGGCCCAAATAGTTTTGAACATGGGTGGGCTGCAAACACAGAATCCAAAGTGTTTTACTAGACCGTTATGGGCCCAATGCCATCCACCAGAAATTAATATATGGGGAAAAAGGTCTCTCATCAAGTAAATGCTGTCCTTGTGAGATGAAATAATTTATCTGCATTAATAATTTATTTTAAGGGGAGAATAACGTGGGAAACCAGGGGTTTGTATCATGCTGTAGAAATACCGAACACCCTCGGCGCAGCTCCTGACTGCGAGGCACAACCTCCAGCACCGAGACAGCGCGTTCTATCCCGTTACCCCGGCTCAACCTCCAGCCCTGGGGCTGTAACACCTTCTCCAGCGGCTCTCCCGGCC